TCTCTCTCTCTCTCTCTCTCTCTCTCTCTCTCTCATATATTCCGTTTCCATTCCAGTGGGCTGTTCATAACACGGCCACCGCCTTTGTGAATATATAGGGCACGTAAATCAGTTATAAGTGAAGCTGGTATGTGTAAAGCATTGGGATATTCCTCTGGCTGTCCTTTGTAGTGCATTTTTCAAGTAATACGCTTGGTCATAAAGTTTTAAACACCCACCCAGTGCATCTCTCTCACTCTCATATTATTTGAGAAACCCATGTGATATGAGATACTCCTGTGATATTTTTCCTGTCACACATTTTGGGATGAATATTAGATGAACAAGCAAGTAAGTAAGTAAATATGCAAGCAAGCAAGCAAATATTCAGAATTCATGATAGTCATAAAACCAGCATTTTCATGGGGGCCAGTGAAAATGTTTTATGACCACCATGAATTTTGACTAGGCCTGACCTGGATTTTCAAACTTTTATTCCAAGGACCCCCAAATATAAGGGTCTCCTTGTGAGGGACCCCCTTTATACAATAAAAAGGTTTTAAATTGAATGTTTAATGAAGCTTTATATCTTCATGTATAAACAGATCTGTTTATACTGTGTGTTTAAAATGTTAAGCTTAGTTTTGGGGACCATGCATTACACAAATGTTGTGCCAGAGTTAGCAAGATAGCTAATTTGCATCTGTAGTCCCTGGGCAGGATGTTGTTACATAACATTACAGCACTCTAAATGTGAAATTAAGCTTGTTTTTCCACTGTTTTAAAGCCAAAATTATTGAAATATTATCTGCAAAATATTTTATTGTGTTAAGTTAACTGTATATGTATAAGATACTATAAAAGAAACATCTTTAATAATAATTGTGCAAATGTATTTGTATAAAATTTTGCATAATAAATATCTTTCCAAAGTAGCTTTACAGAAAAGCTCATACAACTAGAAAGCAAACTAAATATGTCAAAACTATTTTTGAGCACATGTACATTGAAAGGAAGGAGAGATGAGAATTATGGAGATTGATAGCAAAATTATGTGAAAATCACTGACCCCCAAGCAGCCCTTTGTGGACTGTGGACCTCAGTTGGAAATCCCCAGCCATAGAGGTCAGTAGTCAGCCCCACTTGTTGAAAGGAGAGATGTTTGTATTTTTTATGCCTGCAATGTGAGAAATACATTTTTGCAAGCACAAATATTCCATGCAGTTTCTCCTTTCTAAGCTGCTTACAAAAAAAGAAAAACCTGCTTGTATAATAATTATACATGAATGGGAAAATAGTTAAAATAGTTTCAGATGAATGTAGCATGTCACACAGTTGCTGTAATGAGTGGGGACCCGGTTCACCCGGTTCATGAAGACAGTGGTGCCACATGGCCAGTTAGTGCAGAAGGGTGTCTGTGTTTTGTGGTTTATGTTTCTCCTCTATGCCCCGCCTTTCTGAAACGCTCGATTTTTACAAAGCTCATCGGTCTGAAAAGCGAGGTGTGCTCTGATTGGCCAGCTATCCAGTGCATTGTGATTGGCTGAATTCCTCAAGCGTGTGACGGAAATGTTACGCCCCTTACAGGGCTCTAGAGTGCGACCAATTTCTCAATGGTGCGACTAAAAAAAATCTGAGGTCGCACCAGTGCGACCAGCCGTTCGAGGGGAAAAAAAAGTATGTGCGACTATGAAAGTCTCCCTGTGGTTCAACAACAGACACATATTAGGCCCATATCGTGGTCTAAACCAATCAGAGATAGTGAAGGGCGGACCCCCCCTCTGATTGGCTGTGGTCCAGATATTCCTGTACGAGTGTGTACGTTAGAAAATGCGTGTGCTGCAGTCACAGACAGAGAGAGGTGAGTAGCCTAGGCCCGTCAGATAAACAGAGTGGATGTAGCCGCGGATGATGAGAGAAGATGAAAAGAACGATTGACAACTTTTTCATTAAGAATGTTAAGTTAAGGCCTGATCCGTCCAAAAATCATAAGAAATCCCGGACAGGACGCTTCCTGGGAAAATGGCACGTATGGTCACCCTAATCTATAAAACACATTACATGCCGCAATAAATGCACTGCCTAAGTGTCCCCTCTTGGAAAAATTCTGGTTCTGTACGTTCTAATAATATTCCCTCGGTGAGTAGTTTATTGTAATGATTGCAAACAGGAGATCTGTGTGTAAATATGGGTGTGTGTTAAAATGACATTGTCACCTGTGTGTACAGGTGTCAGCACTGGCACAGCTATTACTGTTTACATATAGGATTCTGCAGGGCATCAGGTGTTACAGCAAGACTCATTGTTAGCAACGAAAAGAAAATATACGTTATACACTCTAAAAACAAAGGTTCTTTATTGGCATGTAGGCTAGGCTAGTTTCATGAAGAGTGTTTAACATCCATGGATTCTTTCCATTCCAGGTTCTTTGTAGTGGAAAAAGGTCTTTAGATTTAGATAGCATGTTCTATACAATAAAAAAAATGGTTCTTTTAAGAACTGTTTGCTGAAAGGTTCTTTAGGGAACCAAAAATGGTCCTTCTATGGTATCGATGCGAACCCCCTTTTTTAGCTTTTTTATAGTGTAGACACTGCATCTCAACACATTGCACTTTGTGTCCATATACTATCAGTTGTGTTTAATAAGTTATTGTACATTAATGTTAAATGAAAGAGATTATTAGGTTTCATTTATAGGTGTTTTTTTTTTTTTACCATCTTCCACCTTGTTGTGGGACAAACGTCTGGTCACAAACGGGAATGTTGTTATAAGAATTTCCAAGCTTGCCTTTTCGTACAATGAAGGTCTGTTTCTCACACAAAGCTATCGTATGGCTTCAGAAGACTTGAAAAATAGTGCATTTATGGTGCTGTTTTGTCATTTCTGGAGCTTGATATTTCCTGTTTCCCAGTCATTTATTGAATGGAAAAGAGCAGCATGATCTTTCTTTTGTGTTCCACAGAAGAAAGTCATACAGTTTTGGAATGATATGAGGGTAAGTAAATGATGACAGAATTTAATTTATGGGTGAATTATCCTTTTAAAGGTGAAGTTTTTTTATGTTAATTATTTCTCAGATTAATGTGTTGAAAACTTTAAGTAAGCCATATGTGGGTTGACTTGCTGAGGAGCATAAACACTGTGGTGCTATCAAAACATTATACTGTTTGTTTGAGCGGCCTGACATAGCAGCATTAGCTCAACCAATGGCACAAGTTTGAGGGAGGACTACCTGTTTGACCAAACAATGAATAGGAAAACCTTTTTTGAAATGACTCTTGGTGCCATTATATGTGTCATTTTAGAATGAGGTTTGTGGTTTAGTACAGCCTTACTTTTCTATCTGCTAAGATGTGCTATCCATGTTGTACTAGTAAACATGACAGTTTAAACTTCTGGTAGGTCACCCTGAGCAGGTAGGTCAGATTTTCATAGCCTCACTAGTGGCTCAGAGAGAGACCTTTAAAGTGATATTTAGCCACCCCTTTCTGTCATCATTTACTCACCCTCTTGTTGTTTCATACCTGTATGACATTCATTCTTCTGTGGAACACAGATTGCTCTTACTGCAATAACAATGGCTGCAAATTGGAGCTTTCAAGCTTCAAAAAGGACACAAAAGGAGCGTCGAAGCATCACTGTATAAGCATCATAAAAAGTATTTGTTTGCTTCTGAAGTCATATGATACAAATTTTACAGTATGTGATGAAAATACTGAATTTAAAAGAGTTAATTGATCTTACCCTTGGGGGCTGTTAACCATTGCGACTGGATCATTGTGGAAATTAATTATGACTTGTTTCCTACGTTGTTGTGATTTGATCTGAATGGAAACCGCGTATCTGCATGGCGCAGCTGACACAGAACAGCATACACTGTTTACAGGGTGATGCGGAGGAGACGAATAGTTGAATAAAGTATAAGGGTTAGTTCAGCCAAAAATGAAAATTCTGTCATTAATTACTCACCCTCATGTCGTTTCAAACCCGTAAGACCTTCGTTCATCTTCGGAGCACGAATTAAGATATTTTTGATGGAATCTGAGAGCTGTCTGACCCTGCATAGACAGCAACGCAACTGAAATGTTCCCAAGTCCAGAAACGTAGCAAGGAGATCTGTAAAATAATCCATGTGACATCAGTGGTTCATCCGCAATTATACGAAGCTACGTGAATACTTTTTGTGCGCAAAAGAAAAAAAAAAGACTTTATTCAACAATTCGTCTCCTCCGCATCACCCTGTAGCGCCATTTTGGATAATATCAGCTGGATGTAAACAGCATATGCTGGTCTGTGTCAGCTGCATCATGCCGGATCTGTTTCCTACGTTAAACGGTTGTGCTGATTTGTATGTTTGTGGAAACCATGATAAATATTTTTTAGAAAGTTAAAAACACCAATTACTTGTCTTTTGAAGCACTATGAACTTCTTTTCTGTCACTTTTGATCAACTTGATGCTTCCTTGCTGAGTAAGTTTGAATTTCTTAAAAAAAATTACTGCTATTACTACTTTAAACTTTTGTCAGACATTTTCTCTTTATGTCTTTTAAGGAGTTTTAGACAAATCTCTATTGGCTAATTTCAGTGATTCAGTGTCATTTAAAAGTTATTCTTGCATTCACCTTCATTGCTCTGAACTTTGACCTGTAGTGCATTTGAAAAACCCCTTTTTTTCACAGTGTTTTAAAGAGAACTGTACTGCCGGCTTCTTTGAGCTCTGTTTAACAAGGTGTTTTCTCTCACAGATCTGGCTGAATTCACACAGCATTCTTTGTGAACCCAAGCATGTAAATCCCACAGGGTCAACTGTTTCTGAGAAACTTTGCATCAACGATCCTCCCACGCTCATTTGCTCAATCACATGCCATATAACATGCCAATTCTAATGAGCCGGTAGTCCGATAGCAACTATCGCATGCTTTTCAAATGGGGTTCACAGCCACGTTTGGCTTTTTTTGACAAGCAGCCAGATCTAATAAAGTGGCCACTGAGCTTGTGTTTGGTGTGCGTATGTGTGCGTAAGCTCTCATGAACATGCATATGTTATCTTGGATTTGATTTAGTTATGGATGCTTGCATTTGCTCAAGTTTCAGTATAAGCATATATGTTATCTTATCTTTGAATGCATGTATATTATGTAAAGCTCAGTGCAGATTGACCTAGTGACCCAGTGTATGGCGTGACGTTTTCCCCTCCAGGTCTGTGCAAGTGTGTACAATCAAATCTTCCTTTTATGTTGAATGCAGAAATGTATTTAAAGTTCAGTTTTTTTTTTTCTCCCTCTGTTGTCCGTAATGGAGGGGTAGTCTCATGAGAAACGGGCCTCCATGTCTTCATTTCCTGCAGGTCTCTGAGGGGGCCACCACACCTATCTTGCCATGGATATCATTTGTGATATTTTTTGGGATGCAGGCATGCAGCATGTTTAGACTTGTGTTTGTTTACTAGAATCTGTCAGCCACACTAACTCAAAACGGAATCATTTGGGAAAAGTTTAAAATATTAGTTTGAGAAGCATCCTAGCTTCTGTAAGTAATTCTGTTTTCCACTGTGTTCTGTGTGAGTGTGGTTGTTTGAAACAGTCTATTTTGACTGTGTGGTTAAGAGATTACATTATAATGCAGTATTATTAAATTTTTGATTAGATCGCTATTCAACATTTTATACTTCATTTGGCCGCCTAAATATGTCTTTCAGGATTTGCATGATTCGGGGGGGGAGTGGGGATGTGTTTTTATATATATATATATATATATATATACACACTGTAAAATAAATAAAAAAATCAAGTCATGTTGTGATTTCTGTTTTATTTTGATTAATCATGCAGCCCTTCACAACATTCCTGTGCAATATATGCAGATATGACAGAATTCACTTCTGTGAATTCTGATGCTAATTAGTGCAGGGCAATGAAATTTTCTGTTGATCACCCTCTTTAGCCCATACTTTAGTTGTTCTATCCATCCATAATTGCTCCTCATGTGTCAGCTGCAGGGCTCCCAAACATCTGTACTGTGACATAGTTCTGCTTGTTAGGAGTAAAGTTTACATACATGGCCTGAGTCATATCTTTCATGTGTTTAAAAACCACCTTCTGAAGTGCTTTGAGTAACTGGGTGGCTGTCCACCTTGAATGCATCTTGGAAGACATTTACTGGCCATGGCTTTTAGGTCCATTCAGAACCACAGTGCCTGATGAAAAGATGGAAATGATGGGTGTTTCTTTATTAATTTTTTTTCAGGTGATATCACCCAGAAGGGCTACGAGAAGAAAAGATCCAAACTTTTACAAGCTTACCTACCTCACACACAAGGTAACACACATACCATACTTTACTAAGCAGCATACAGTTTATATCGTGTCAAGATTACATTTGTCCCTCTGTGTTTGCTGTAGGGGCAGAGCGCCGCATCCCTGTCACACCATCTTCATCATCTTCCTCATCCTCCCGTTACCAACGCCGGCGGTCCACTGGCACGAGGGATGAACGTTACCGCTCAGGTGAGATAAAGGGCACAGATTTACACAGACACACACACAATCTGACTTCCAGGAGACATAATACAGGCTCTTTGCAGTTTATGCCATAATTCCAGCAAACAGATCAGCAGCACCAGCTCATATTCAGAAAGTGATGTTATTAAGTTTTCGCATTTTGTTTATTTGTAAAATTGATTATGGAAACCACTGTCATTGAGTTCTTGTTTTTTATGTTTATAATATATTATATAGTTAAGCAGTATTATATGAGCAAGAGTATCATCACAATTTGAAATATGATATAGATTTTATACAACAGTTTAATTAACAAGATGTCAACATTGTCTGTTCTTGCCCTATTTCGCCAAACAAAGTCACAGCAGTACAACTTTTAAAGGGGTCCTATTATGCTCTTTTACAAAGTCTTGATTTTGTTTTGGGGGTGTACTAGAACAGGCTCTCATACTAGGTTGTTCAAAAAACACATTATTTTTCACATATTTTACATTATTACAACACCTCTCTCCTCAGTCTGGCATGAATAGTTCCTGTATCAAATGAAGGCCCGCCTTCTGAAATACGAAATGTGCTGTGATTGGTTAGCTGGGCCAGTGTGTGCTGTGATTGGCAGCACTCGGCGCCTGGTCGGGAAATGTCATGCCCCTTACCATAGCTTCCTGCAAGCTTCAGTGTAAATATTGCATCAAAATCAAATCAATTTGAGCATGATTTAAACCCGGATGATTGTAACCACTCTAAGTTCGTCTGCCTTGGGAAAGCTAGCGTGTCTCCAACTCGTTGCCTTCTCTAGTGCAACTCAACCAGGTCTCGTCCCATTCGTCGGTATTTGTGATATCACAAATCCCGGGAAAATATGCATTGTAGTCTAAACGAGTCGTTCGTTGTAGTTTTTGAAAAGTGATTTCTGTTAAATAAAATATCTCCTTTTGAAGTGGACTTTGAGCTTTGTAACTTTGCGGATCTTTTTTATGCTCAAACAGCAACATTACAGACTAAATAAAGTTGAAAAAGTGAAAAAGCATAATAGGACCCCTTTAAAACATTAATCTCAAAACAGTATTTATGCAATTTACATCTGCATATACAGTTTTAATTGCAAATTCTTCATTAACTAAATTAATTAATTTTGTATATATTTATCTACTGATTAAATGTTAGAATTCGACATAAAAGATAATGCATACGTTTAATAACGTTAGGAAAAAATTGCCCTTATAAAGGTAAAAATTCCCCTGGAAGTCAATTTAAGGGAACAAATATACCTGCAACTATCACTGTCACTGAAGTACATGTTTTTTAATTTCATAAACTCAATAAAATTGTTTGACTGAAATGTTTAAAATATAATATTAAAATAAAACTAAATATATATATGGAAAAGTTAATTTATTTCAGTAATTCAACTCAAATTGTGAAACTCGTGTATTAAATAAATTCTATGCACACAGACTGAAGTAGTTTAAGTCTTTGGTTCTTTTAATTGTGATGATTTTGGCTCACATTTAACAAAAACCCACCAATTCACTATCTCAACAAATTAGAATACTTCATAAGACCAATAAAAAAACATTTTTAGTGAATTCTTGGCCTGGAAAGTATGTTAATTTACTGTACATGTACTCAATACTTGGTTGGGCCTCCTTTTGCATGAATTACTGCATCAGTGCGGCGTGGCATGGAGACAATCAGCCTGTGGCACTGCTGAGGTGTAATGGAAGCCCAGGTTGCTTTGATAGCGGCCTTCAGGCCATCTGCATTGTTGGGTCTGGTGTCTCTCATCTTCCTCTTGACAATACCCCATAGATTCTCAATGGGGTTCAGGTCTGGTGAGTTTGCAGGCCAGTCAAGCACACCAACACCATGGTCACTTAACCAACTTTTGGTGCTTTTGGCAGGATGGGCAGGTGCCAAATCCTGCTGGAAAATGAAAGCAGCATCTTCAAAAAGCTGGTCAGCAGAAGGAAACATGAAGTGCTCCAAAATGCCTTGGTAAACGGGTGCAGTGACGTTGGTTTTCAAAAACACAATGGACCAACACCAGCAGAGGACATTGGACCCCAAATCATCACAGACTGTAGAAACTTAACACTGGACTTCAAGCAACATGGTTTCTGTGCCTCTCCACTCTTCCTCCAGACTCTGGGACCTTGATTTCCAAATGAAATGCAAAATTTACTTTCATCTGAAAAGAGGACTTTGGACCACTGGGCAACAGTCCAGTTCTTCTTCTCCTTAGCCCAGGTAAGACGCCTCTGACATTGTCTGTGGTTCAGGAGTGGCTTAACAAGAGGAATACGACAACTGTAGCCAAAACACGTCTGTGTGTGGTGGCTCTTGATGCCTTGACCCCAGCCTCAGTCCATTCCTTGTGAAGTTCACTCAAATTCTTGAATCGATTTTGACAATCCTCATAAGGCTGCGGTTCTCTCGGTTGGTTGTGCATCTTTATCTTCCACACTTTTTCCTTCCACTCAACTTTCTGTTAACATGCTTGGATACAGCACTCTGTGAACAGCCAGCTTCTTTGGCAATGAATGTTTGTGGCTTACCCTCCTTGTGAAGGGTGTCAATGATTGTCTTCTGGACAACTGTCAGATCAGCAGTCTTCCCCATGATTGTGTAGCCTAGTGAACCAAACCGAGAGACCATTTTGAAG